TTTACTGGGGCCCCCACCCACCGCGCAGGGGTGGGGGCCAGGGGGGGAGGACAGTAGGTTCCCCCCCTTATTGTTTTATTAGGGCCCCCACCCACCGCTCAGGGGTGGGGGCCGGGGGGGAGGACAGTAGGTCCCCCCCCCTCATTATCTTCATGGCCCCCACCCGCCGCTCAGGGTGGGGGAGGGGGGGAGGACAATAGGTCCGCCCCCCCTTATTGTAATTTATGTCTTTTTTTTCAACAGTGAGCAGCCATAGGCTGCTCACTGTTTAGTAGACATGCCCCTACTCGCGGTATAGCGAGTAGGGGCATTTGGGAGATTTTAATCTCCCTTGTGCTATTATGGGGGTCATATTGACCCCCATAGAGTGAGAGGGTGTACTGGGGGGGCTTATGAAGTGGTGGGGAGCACTGCTCCCTGCCGCTTCTATAGTTACATATTACAAGGAGGGAGCTGCATGCCGGTAGCTCCCTCCTTGTAATAAACTAAACGAACAAACAAACACTGATACTCAGATACACTGATACATTGTGTTTGTTTGTTCGGCTGATCTTTCTATTCACTCATTCGCCTGTCTGATGAATGAATGAATAGCTGAAATTCCCGTTCGCATGTCCAGGTGTTTCACTGGGCATGTGCGGGAATCTCACAGTCTGCCTAGTGTGGGCTGATGACGTGTCCCTGAGGGACTTCATCTACCCACACAAAGATGGCGGCGCCCTGAATCAAGATCGGGGCAGAAAATAAGGATTTAAAAATAGGTAATGTGGGGGGCTTAGGGGCATTTGGGGGTGACTAGTGGGTCAATTGGATGTAGTGGAGGCGGGAGGGGGGTTAAAAAAAAAACGGGATTCGGCATGACAGTGCCGCTTTAAGGATACAATTACGATTTTAAAGATACTGGAGAATATAAAATAGGAGGAGAATTATGTATTAGTGACATGCGATGTCACTTCCTTGTATAGTAATATACCACATGAATATGGACACAGAGCGGTTAAACATTTCTTGGATATTTCTAGGGAGTTTTTAACGGCACAAATTGCAAGTTATAAACTTAATTTTAAACAATTTTTTTTTGGTACTAGGAAGAATTTTACTTGCAAATTAAGGGGACTGCCATTGAAACCAAGTTCGCCACCAGCTATGCCAATCTTTTTATGGCCTTGTGGGAGGAGTCTTTTGTTTAGGGCCCACATAGCTGGGTGGAGAACTTGGTTTCCTATGGCAGATATATTGATGATATTTTATTTGTTTGGAGAGTCGGTATAGAGGAATTAAAAAAGTTTCTATTTTTCCTTAACGACAATACTTGGGGTAAAGAACTCACAAGTACCTGGAGTAAAAGTGAAATAGATTTTTTAGATTTGAAAATCTATATTGATGAAGGTAAAATACTAACTAAAAATCATTTTAAATCGGTTGACTGCAACAGCTTTATAGATAGGAAAAGGGACAGTCTAAGGGACAGTTCATGAGAATTTGCCGTAATTGGACGGATATAAAATTATATGAAGATCAGTGTTTAGTGATTAAAAATTATTTTTTAAATAAGGGGTATGAAGATGCTAAATTGGAAACAGCAAGAATAGAAGTAAAAAATAAAGAACGAAAAGATATGCTTGTGTATGAAGCTAAAGAGAATAAGATCAGTAATGAGGTCCCTTTTATATGTAATTTTACTGTTAAAAATTACCAAGTACGAAAAATTATAACCAAATATTGGCCCATCCTGTTACAGGATCCTCTTTTAAATTTCTTTTTACCTAATAAACCAAGATTCATCCATAGAGGAGTGAAAAATTTGAAAAGCACCTTAGTTAATAGTTTTATTAAAGAAAAAAATAATCAAAGCACAATTTTTAATAATGAAAAAGGTTTTTATGGATGTGGTCAGTGTGCAGCATGCAAGAAAACAGGAAATAACAAAAGGGTAATTAAAGAAATTTATGGTAATGGAGGTGAGCACATTATTTTAAAAGATTTTCTTACATGTTATTCGAAAAATATTATTTATTAATTAAAATGTCCCTGTGGCCTCATGTACTTGGGTCGTACTACGAGAGCCTTACATATTCGAATTAGAAAACATATCTGTAACATACAGAAAGGGTTTAGAAACCACAGTGTGTCCAACCATTTTAAATCCCATCATAATCAAGATCCCAGGGGTTTATTTATTATTGGATTGAAAAAAGTAGAACAGAACTGGAGGGGAGGGGATTTGGAAGGATTGAAATGGAGTGGATTTTTAAGATGAATATTTTGATACCTTACGGCTTGAATGCCGATTTTGAGTTATACCATTTCTTGTAGTTTTTTATATGTATTTTTATGATCGACTTGTCTTCCCCCTTAAATAATTTTAAATGTTATAAAGTTGTCTCCTCTTTTAAATAAGTGCATATGTCATATAGTTATTTCATTATTTTAGAGCCTTTTTATGTATTATTGAGACATTTTTAAATTATAGCATTTTTATATTAAGTAGGTGGACTATACCATTATATTTGTCCCCTTTTTTCCTTGATTGTGGTGGAATGTAATTATATGTTTTTACTGTTTTTCTCTTATTATGTTTTTTGTCCGTATATATTATAAACGATGGATGAGAATTTCTTCTATATAAATTGAACAAGCATGTAAGATCAATACGAAAGAACATGAGGACATATGGATTCAGATATCCTCCTGCATTTACGATGTATGTACCATATGAAATCCCGTCTTTCAGATGACATCACTATCCCATATTGAGTCTTGACCCGCAAGGATACATAGGTGAAATTTACGGCGTGCATCACGGACAGAACTTTGAGTGATAGTTCTGGTCTGAACATGCAGCAACCGTCACATAGAGGCTTGGAACACTTACGCATTACCGATAGGAGGATGATTACGTGGAACAATTACACACATCTGCAAATAATTTTGCAATTTATTCAACTATAAAACTGGAAGCCGGCTGACCATGGATTATCACATTTTTTATCCACCTGAGGAAGCTACATCGGTAGCGAAATGCGTCCTGGGACTTTCTATAGACATTTGTCTTATCTTAAATTATTGTATGTTTATTTTATTTTCATTTTTATATGTTATAATAAATTTAATTATTTCCAACATACATTCTGGTTGCCAGTTGCACTTGATTAAGGGAGTGCCGTCCCAAACTGCACAGCGTGCTACTATAGAGCCACAGGGGCTCTGGGTTTGTAAGTATAAATTTTACTTACAACTTTCTACGGAAATTTTATAACAGTGCTGTGACGAAGTGCCCTTCGCCACTTGTGCCTGGAGAGGACTGCTTGCCCGCCTCTTGCCCTGTGACTATGGCCCTTGGGATGTATTGCCCTTTAAAGACATGATTTGGGCTTAATGGATTTGTGTTGTGCTGCTGCTGGCCCTTTAAGAACCATCTGGGGACATACTGTGGAGTTACTGGGTGGCCACCATTTCCTGTATCAGAAGCACATGGTGAGAACAATGGATGGCGGCCATTTTAACTCACAGACACTGTTTGGACTTTTCAACACGGTGCCATCTCGCCAGTATTTGGTGCACAGAGACATCGTGCAGTGGTTTTGGACTATACAGCAGGGGACACATTATACAGTGATTGTTTTTCATTTAGCCTGTATATGTTCTGCAGAATCTGCATTAAACTGTATTTTCCAAAGTACTGAACGGATCTGGGTGAATTTTGGATATGTGGTTCACCCAGATCCCCCGGTTCCAAGGATATACTTTTTATGGGGTTATTGCATGTTTTGGGGTCCCTGTGTGTTTTATGAAACTGTATTATTTCTGGCCAGCAGATAATTGAGCTTTGTGTATTGTAGAAACTCAATTATCTAGCCTGGCCCAGAGGAGGAGTTTTGTGTTGCATAAATTGTGAGTTCTGTGTGCCAGTAAATCAGTCTTGTTCCAGCATTAAGCCTTGGCTCATGTTTGGGGGAAGGGATACCTACACTCTGGGGATTGCTATAATCACTTACTCCCCAGAGGAAGCTCTTGCAATAGCTTGATTTGTTCCTGTTCCTGCTCTCTGGGGAAAGAGAGGTTCACCCACTGGAAGCTGGATCCTGGCCTTGGGTCCAGGGTGGGTGGAAACAGCAGAGACCCCGGCATAGTTGCATCGCTGGAAGTGGGGTCTGCAGTGCTGATGGTGTCGGTTGGAGTGCTTGGATTCCTCAGCGAGCACTAGGAGCATCGATTGGCGGAGGTACTCAGTCGGAGTTCCAGCGTTCCGTCACAAGTGCTATACTATTGTGGCTTTATTTCTTATCAACCCTAGGAAGGACCACCTAATCAGTGTTAAAGGGGGTGCCCATACGGACCCGCAGCCATCCATACCGGAGCTGGGTTTATAGCTCCATGCTTGTGAGTGTTCTGTATCTCTTTATAAATTATATTTAATACATATTCGATTTACACTATGTACATTGTTTCTTTTGTACCTTCAGAATTTGTATATCAGTGATATTTAAGACTTCCGAATTGACACATCTCTGTTACATCAGGTTATACGAGGTAAATTGTTACCTTTTACATAAGCACCTCACTATTTGTATTTTATTTTTCATATCTACTTGTGTTCTTCTTTGCCGTTTATTGAAGAAAATAAAGTAGTTAACATTTCTGCCTTTTCCTGATGCACATTTACTAAAACACCACTTTCTGATTTTAGTATTTCAACACATTCAGTCTTGAGCTTTTTAGAACTGATGTACTTACAAATCATATTGTGGCTGGTCTTACTGTCAGTTGTTCATTTTCTGATGGCCCTTTTGCAAATATTGGCATTGATTTATTTAGAGCCAGTCATTTATTCGGTTGGATAGAGTAATTTATTCTTTAAAAGCCTTTAATGGCAAATTTGAAGCTGATAATTATTCATTTGAATATCGAACCTGATACCTATACTTTACATGTATATTATTTGATTATGTGTTATTAACATAATGATGCAATGCTCTATAAATGGCCTTATCAGACTTGACAACTCAACCTAATGTCCCATGGGCAGCAGATAGGGCTGTTAATATAGTTACATAGTTACATAGACTGAAAAGAGACATGTGTCCATCAAGTTCAGCCTTCCTCACATTTTTTTGCTGTTGATCCAAAAGAAGGCAATAAAACCCAGTTTAAAGCACTTCTAATTTTGCAACAAACTAGGAAAAAAATTCCTTCTTGACCCCAGAATGGCAGTCAGATTTATCCTTGGATCAAAGAGCTATTACCCTACATTAAAAAAATTACATCATTGAATATTCTGTTTGTTTTTTTTAATATATATAATAAACAGGGGAGACCTCGTGTCTCCCTAGTCCCCATCATGGGTGGTGGGTGGGGGCTACTTTAAAAACACAAAAGTGGATGCACTTACCATTGTCCACACCCCTAAATATGGCCAAGCCACATCCCACCCTAGTGGTTGCTAGAGATCTCCTAGACCCCCCTCTAAAGTAAGAAGATTGTACCGAACCCCTCACCCTAATAAGAGCAAGGGGCACAATAAGTTCAATACCTGTAAAATAAAATTATATTGTTACCATCAGACGTGGGTTTTTTGTTTGTTTGCTTCTTGTTTTTTCTTAAATCTTCATTTCTTCAGCACCACAAAAGGCTAAATAAAAATCAAGAACAACTGACATGACTATTAAAAATAGAAAAAGAAGACTTGGATTAAAAAAAAAAAAAAAAAAATTGTGACGAAAAAAAAAATGGCACAAAAAAAAGATTTTTAGAAGAGCTCCTTGCAGTATAAGCTTTCAAGGCAGAAAATGCCTTTTAAAGGCCTACTCACACTTTGTAAGCTCAGTCAGAGTGTTTTGACAGGCAAGTCTCATTTCTCTCAAGTTGCTTTGGAATATTCTTTCGGTGCACATTTATTGGAAGTTTTATTACCGACAGACATTGGGTTTGCCTTGCTCGAATTTCAGCTGGAATTAAAACCAGATGAAATTCAATAAAAAACAAAAAATAACCCCAAATTTTTTAATTGTTGACTGTTTTTTGTCAATAGAATTAAATCAAGGCCATTATTGTCATCCTTATATTTTATTTATAACGCATCTGTCCGATCTGAATTAAATGTTTTAAGTGCCCTTTTTGTGAATTTTTATTTTTTCACTGGCCTTCCTACTGAGTTCTTTGATTTAAGTCTTTCTTTGGTATTTATTGTCTAATGGTTAAGAGGTAAAGTGTACTTTTCTAATATTTGTTCAAATATATCCCATTTATCATCTGTTATGAGTTTACAATGAGTTGTAAAGCTGCTCTAATCCTATTGAAATCGGCCTTTTACATTAGATTTTTTAGTGAACACCAAATAAATTTAAATTGAATTATAAATGACCCTAGTGGTTGGCAGAACATTCTTACCTTGTCTACTGTGAGTATTCATGACTCAAAGAAAATATTCATATGTTAATTAATGAATTAATTAATATGTTATCACAGTTGTTTCAATTATAATGAAAAATATCTGATTACATTTGAGTCCAAAATGTGAGGTTTATGGGGATCTAGGTACCATGTTTTGACCCATTCCTCAACTTGGAGGAATGGATCAAAATTCCTCAAAAAGACATGTAAAAGACAGTTTCACAAAACTTTACATGAGATCATTGTTGCTCAACTAATTTCTACAGATTCTGAAACGAAATGTTCACACACCTTTGGTATCGTGTGCCATTAGTTTAATGAAGTTATCTTTATGATTAGGACATACAATCTACAAATGATGGCCTCGATTTCATATTTTTGGATAAGCTTTTTCAAATGATTTAGTATTAAGAAAAAAAAGGTTTTGATATAATTTGATATATTGATATATTTTTGATGTTTTAATAATTTGAAAAAAATCACTTAAACATGTATCCAAAGATATTAAATCATGGGAAAAAGCTTATAATAAATCGAGGCATATGTAGTTGTTAAATATAACTAATTGTTCCACCTTTTATTCTTAAGTACTTATTTTTTACTCCATCTCCAAACGTAGCAGGGTTTTCACAAATTTTATCCAAACACAAAGATGAAGGTAAAAATAGCTGATCCGAAAAATTCACAACTATTTTTGGATCAGTGTTGCCATTCAAATTTAATGCACGAAAATGTGGTGGTGAGTGAATATCCTGACCATCTTCCTTTCCCCTACTCTATCTGGACTTCTTCTACTTACGGGATGTATTTATTTAATTCCTTCTGAATGATGCATTTTAGCATTTTATTCATATTTTAAGGAGATCTGTACATATAATTGCTAAATCTTTTAACATTGAAGGAGCACTATAGGGTCAGGAACACAAACATGTATTCCTGACCCTATAGGGTTAAAACCACCATCTAGCCACCCTGGTCCCCTCATGCCTACCTAAATATAGTAAAATCTTACTTGTTTTCAGGTCTGCAGCTGCTTATTTTGTCCCTGTTTCCTTTAGACCTGCTCACTGCCTGCTGACATCATCAGAATTGGCAGCCTTAACCAATCACAATGCTTTAGCATAGGATTGGCTGAGACTGACAAAGAGGCAGATCAGGGGCAGAGCCAGCACAATTCAAACACAGCCCTGGCCAATCAGCATCTCCTCTTTTTCTTTTTTTTTTAATGTGTCTGATGAATCGTTTTATTTTATTCCTTAGAGTTTCTAATGGAAAACCTGAGTATGACTTCTCAAAACTTGATTTATTTATTGATCGTCTTCTGAAGAATGGATTGATACCAGGTCAGACAATGCTTTCATTAAGTTCCTGTAATCCAAATGACTTGTTTGATATGCATCATATGTATTTTACATTACTTATATTGCAATGTTATCCAGTGTGCTTAATATAGATTAATATAGATTAATAATGATACATTCAACAATTAGGACCTTACACAGCAGAAGTGGAGAACAAGGTGTCAGGGTAAAAGGTAGGCTAGTGACAATGTGTAAAGAAAGAATGGAAGTAATGAGATTAGACAGACATGAGTAGTGAATGGGACCTA